AGATTCCTTATAACCTTGCATGGAGTATTTGCTTAGATTGTTATGCAGATTTATTCAAACAATTATTTTGAAAATCTGATTTTTTTCCACCCTATTATCCTTGTGAAATGAGGGGGAAATGTCAAGATTTTTGAAATTGAAAAACCGAACCTTAACGTTTATATTTTCTTCTCCTAAAGCGTAAGAAAATCATCATCGATATCGATGTTGATTGGATTTGTGTGTTGTTGCTATTTCTCTTTTTTTCGAATAGAAAAAAGCGTGTAACGTGTCGTATGTGGCAATAAACTCTGGAGGGAAACACACAACAATACCAATCCTTTTTAAGGACACAGAAAAAAAACACAGCACCAAAGAACGTTTTTCGCCAAACAAGACCTGCCACACATAAAGCCTTCAGTTTTTCAGAACATTATACCGAAGTTGTGTTATGCATTTGTCATGCATACATTTATGACTGCCAAGAGAGTGAGGATAAACAAGCAAACACCAAGGATAATGTCGAGAAAAAAATAAAAAAAAACAAAACACGACAAGAAGAAACATGAAATGCGACATTGACACTGGCACTGTCATCGAAAAACAAAACACACAGACACATTTATTTTTTAAATGTCATAGAATTTTTTTCGGAATACAATTTCAGTTATGCACATAGCAACCAACAGCAGCATCAGCCGTAGCATCATCAGCAATCAGGAGTCAGTCATCACTTTTCTTGTCATTCAAGCGTAATATGCCACACACCACACACTAATATAAAAATATCAAATTGGCAAAAAGACCCCACAAACATTGAAAGTGAATTTGATATTAGAATGGTTTAGCTATAGGCATTTGTCATAATACAGGTAGCGAAATTGAATGGAGGTTAAGTGAAATTTGCCATTTTCGAAAAATGTATGCCAAGTTAGCTGAAAAAAACATATAATATATATGGACATTTTATTTATACACTTTCTGCATAGAGAAAAAAATATTTATTGAAATTTTTCATACACATAAACATTCAGTTAGGTATATCTGCATAAGTGTTAGGGGGTATAGCTTTAACCTACATATTTTTGCGGAATGTTTTGAGAAAAATAAATGAGCTGTGTGTAATATTATATCACATTTTTTTTAATTAAAAAATTTTTCTTTAAATAATTAAGGAATATTTTTTTAATTTTCTCATCCATTCAAAATCGGACATTAGGACGGGTTTTGCGGCGGAATTTGTGACCGAAATCTTTTAAAATTGCTTCTAATATTCATATCTACGAAAATCAATGCAAATGCAACAATTTTTGTAGTGTGGTGAATTTCTGTGAAAATTCACCACACCTTAAAAAGTGGCTAAAATTATTCAAAATGTATGTGACAACACTAAAAAATAATAATCAATTAGTTTTCTTGAATAAATTCAGAGGAATCATGATTTAAAATTACGATTTCCGAGCGAAATACAATTTTTTTATTTTATACACATTTTTTTATTTTATATGGGAATTTGTGAACCAAAACTACGAAAACTAGCTTCTAATATTAATATTTATCAAAATCAATGCAAATGCAGCAATTTTTGCAGTGTGGTGAATTTCGCTAAAAATTCACCACACCTCCAAAATTGCCTTTATCGATTATAATTTAATGTAAAATCATAAATTCATTGTGTTCAATAAGTTTTATTTAGCCGATTTTAAGGAATCGTGATGAGAGATATTTTCTATAATTTGACCAAAAATCTTGAAAAATGTGTTATGTAAATCTTGAAAAAATGTGTTATATCTTGAAATTGGTTGATATAACTTTCAAGAAACTAATATGTAGTCTTTTAATAAATAATTTCCGGTCATTTTCTGCAATTTTTAAGGTGTGGTGAATTTCAATGAAAACTCACCACTCCCCAAAAATTGCTGAAAATGCAAAATTTAATGAAAATAAATACAATTTAAATAAAATTTCAAAGTTTTGTTGACCTATTTGGTCTCTGCAGCACATTATCTTTATATGTTTTCCATAATAGTAAGATAATAACATGGTGGTGAGGGGAAACTTAAATTGATTAAAAAATACCATTTTCGGTATTAATAACTTCAAAAAACTTAGCTAGAGTTAATATACAATTAATTCCTGATTATTTCCAGCAATTTTTGAGGTGTGGTGAATTTCCTTAGAAACTCACCACACCTGGAAAAATATTGCAAATTCACAAATTAATGATTCTAATTGCAATGAAATAAAAATTTTAAAGTTTCGTATACCAGTTTGGCCACTATAGCAATTTTTTTATATTTTTACCTATAATATTGAGAAAATATTGGAAAAACATATTCAATTCATAAAATTTTTCAATCCTCGGCCTTGATAAGTTCAAAAAACCTAGCTAGAGTTTATTTACAATTATTTTCTAATCATTTCCAGCACTTTTTAGGGTGCGGTGAATTTCCATAAAAACTCACCACACCTCAAAAATTGCTGGAAATGCACAAATTAAGGATTCTAATTGCAATGCAATAAAAATTTTGCAATGTCGTCGGTAAATTTTGCCTTAATATCACATTACATTAATATTTTTAATTATAAAGAAAGGAAAATATTGAAAAAATATTAAAGTAATTCAAAAATTACTTTTTCGACATTGAGAACTCCAAAAAAACTTGCTAAATTTAATTTACAATTGATTTCTGATCATTTCCAGCAATTTTGGAGGTGTGGTGAATTTCCATAAAAACTCACCACACCTGAAAAAATGTTGCAAATGCATAATTTGAGGAAATTATTAACAATTTAACTAACATTTTGAAATTTCGTTCGTCAATAATGTCTTGAAACTCACAATTTTTATAATTACCCATAAGGGTTAAAAATACCGATAACATGATATTTATTACAAAAATGCCACTCCCCATCTTGGTAACACCAAACAACCTTGTTAAAGTTAATTTACAATTAATTTCCGATCATTTCCAGTAATTTTAGGGTGTGGTGAATTTCGATAAAAATTCACCAGACCTGGAAAAATGTTGCAAATGCATTATTTTGGGGAATTATTAACAATTTAACTAAAATTTTAAAATTTCTTTGGCCAATAATGTCTTGAAACTCACATTTTTTGTAATTATGTACCCATTAGGGGTTCAAAATACCGACAACATGATATTTATTTTAAAAATTGCCACTACTCCCCATCTTGAAAATTAAAAAAAAAACTTGCTAGAGTTAATTTACAATTAATTCCCGATTGTGTCCAGCAATTTTTAGGGTGTGGTGAATTTCCATCGCAACTCACCACACCTTAAAAATAGCTGAAAATGCACAAATTAAAAATTCTAATAGCAGTACAACATAAATTTTAATGTTTCCTTAACCAAATTGGCCGCTACAGCAATTTTTTTATATATTGTTACCTATAATGGTGAGATAATATTGGAAAATAATATTTAATTATTGAAATTTTTATATTAAATTTATTTGACATCGTCAGAAAACCTTGCAGAAGTTTATTTACAATTAATTTCTGATCATTTTCAGCAATTTTGGAAGTGTGATGAATTTTTATAGAAATTCACCACACCTTAAAAATTGCTCAAAATGCAGAAATTAAGAATTCTAATTGCAATAAAGTTAACATTTTAAAGTTTCCTTTACCAATTTGGGTTCTACAGCACATTATTTTTATAGTTTTTACCTTTAATGGTGAGAAAAATATTAAATTAATTAAACTTTTCCATTATGGGCCTTGATAACTTCAAAAAACCTTGCTAGAGTTTATATACAATTATTTTTTGATCATTTCCAGCAATTCTTAGGGTGTGGTGAATTTCTATAAAAATTCACCACACCTCAAAAATTGCTGAAAATTCAAAATTAAAAGAAAATAAATACAATTTAATTAAATTTTCCAAATTTCGTTGACCAATTTGGCCTTGGCAGCAACATTTTCTTTAATATTGTATATCGAAAATCTTCTACATTAATTTAATTAAAAAACTACCACTCTCAATTTTCTATGATTACGAATTTAATTAGATTTTGAAAAGTCAATGACAACCAAAACAAAAATCTAATACCAACAATTTTTACCTTTTTTTGTGGGAAAAAACATGCTTGGTTTTGTTTTTGTAATTGGCATTGGGCCAATTGAATTACACACAAGCAAGCAAGCCAATAGGTTTATTTTGTTTATATGCACCATTGCGAAGAAAAACCTCATTAAATTGTTGCAAAATAAAAATGCAGTCTCCAGACGTTTGTTTGGCAGACGCCATAATAATGACTGGCCACCAGAAATCACGGCGAAGAGAATGACTTCGATGGCTGGAAAACCTCATGTGTGGGAGTGTGGGTTTAATAATGAAAAGGGAAAAAATCGAAAAAAAATCCGCAGCAGCCAAATAAATGAAACGTGGTTAATAAACGCATTGAATCCGATTTTACCGGTGAAAGAAAAAATCAATAAAAGAAAATATGCACAAAGAAACCCAAAGAAAATTGCAACTGAAAACCCTCACAATAAACTTCCACTTTTGAAAATCAACAGCACTCCGATTTTCAAATAAATACAAAAAAGTGAAAATATTTTTTCCTTCTTCTCTCTCGAAATAATTACAGGGATAGTTTACTTCTTGGTTTCTCCTGGTTTTTGTATCCGAACCAAACCAAAACAAAAAAAAAAACTTCACTCACATTGAGTGAAAATTCCAATCAGAAAAAAACGAAAACTGTAAATAAAACTACAGTGGAAAAGTTTGAATATTTTTTCTGAAAAAAAATCGACAGCAACAAATACAAAAACCTCAATATCCCTTCTTGTGGCCAACAAAAAACAGTCTTCCTTTTGGACAAATAACTGCCTAACTTACCTATCAACCTGCCTGACTGCCCTCCCGCCTGCCAGCATATCCCGTAGTTTAAGAACCAAAAAAAAAACTCCCGTATTTTGTTTTTCTTTTACCGGGTTTTCATCCCCGCCCCTTGTAAACAACAAAAATTAAAATAACAACAACACACCCAACATGACTTCCAACGATGCAACGGCCAACATGGAATTGGGCAAAGTGCCAGACACCGTAAATAATTCGTCGAACGTAGATGGAGCCCAACCAGAGGTAAGTTGTAAACAATTGGTTCCTTATGACAGACAATAAGAGAGAGAGCGAATGCCAAGAAATTTTCTGAAATTTTTTGCTCTTGATTTTTTTATTATTTTGAAAACTTGCCTCCTGTTTCCCTTTTTTGTCATTGCAATTTTATTTTGTTGCTCGTTCCCTTGTTTTGTTGACTATTTTCTTGTCATTTGCCCAACTTCCGGCATGTTTAGTTTTGCAATTAAAATTTTTTTTAGCAAATAGTTTTTTGTAATATTTGACAGCATAATTTGGAATTGTTTTGCACCTCAAGTAGATTTTTTACCTTGATATTCCTGCCGAATTTTTGCATACAAAATTCCAATAAGAAAATCCACAGGTCTTCTGGAAAGAAAAGTTTTTCTAATAAGAAAATATAACAATCTTCTCATAAGTGAAGTCAAATTCTAATGCGTAGAAGTAAATTTTTCTTATAAGAAACCCTGTTGTCCAAAGATTCTTATAAGAAAATCTAATAAGAAAGCTAAATTAAAAGTAATTCTAATAAGCCAATCCAATATTTTTTCTATAAGAAGAGGTAGGTGTTTTCCTTATATAAAATACTGCAAAATGTTCTTATAAGAAAGTTAAAAAAAAATCTAATAGGAAAAAGGATTTGTAACAGAAAAGCTAAAAAACATCTAATAAGAAGATGTAAAATTTTTCTTATAAGAAAACCTGACCTACAAATATTCTTATAATTTAAAAATTTCTATTTATAGATAATTCAAAAAGCTTCAAAATAATATCTTCTTATAAGAAAACCTGAATATTTTGTATACAAAAATCTTATAAGAAATTTAAAAAAATGCTAATAGGAAAAAGGATTTCTAACAGAAAAGCTAAAAAATTTCTAATAAGAAGATGTAAAATTTTTCTTATAAGAAAACCTGACCTACAAATATTCTAATAAGAAATTTCTATTTCTAGATAATTCAAAAAGCTTCACATAAAATTTTCTTATAAGAAAACCTGAATATTTTGTATACAAAAATCTTATAAGAAAGTTTAAAAAAAATTCTAATAGGAAAAAGGATTTCTAACAGAAAAGCAAAAAAACTTCTAATAAGTAGATGTAAAATTTTTCTTATAAGAAAACCTGACCTACAAATATTCTAATAAGAAATTTCTATTTCTAGATAATTCAAAAAGCTTCAAAAATTTTTTCTTATAAGAAAACCTGAATATTTTTTTATACAAAAATCGAAAGATTTTCTAATAAGAAAATAAAATAATAAAATCCATAAACCGTCTAATAAGTATATTCAATTTTGTTCCTTATAAGAAAATCTGAATTTTTCTTATTTGAAAATAAAATTAAAAGCACTTCTAATAAGAAAATCTATAAATCTTCTCATAAATAGATTTTTTTTAATAATAACCTGAAAGTTTTCATATTTGAAATATTTTCTAATTGGAAAAACAGAAACATTTCTAATAAGAAAATCTAAAATTCTTTAATATATAGAAGTAAAGATATTCTAATTAGAAAAATATTAAAAGTAATTCAAATAAGAATATCTAAGTAGAGGAAAAGGTTTTCTTATAAGAAAAATTTCTGGGTTTCTTATAAGAAAAAAATTTAGGATTTTCTAATAAATAAAAAAATAAGATCAAAAGTATTTGTAATAAAATTCTTATAAAAGGTAGATTTAATGTTTTCTTATAAGAAATAAAATTTTTGAATAAGGACATAGAATCAAGATATTTCTAATAGGAAGTTTTAAAAAATTTTAAAATAAGTAGATTAAAAAAAAATCTTATAAGAAAACCTCAAGTTTTTCTTATACAAAACCTGCATTTTTCATATTAGAAAATATAACGGATTTCTAATAAGACCCTCTAAGAGCGTCTAATAAGAATACCTAATAGTTGTGAATATCTAAAACTTAAGCCTAAACTTAGTTTAATATGACGACTTTTAGTAGTTCTAATAAGAAGACCTAATACTATTCTTATAGGAAGACCTACAGTTTTTTTCCAATCAGAAAACCTAAAGTTCTTATAATTAGAAAACATGAAGCTCTTCTGATACGAACAACTAAAATTTCTCTACTAACAAGACTTAAAACCCTTCTAATAAGACCTTTATATTTTTGAATAAGAAGACCAAACCTATAGATTATCTAATAAGAAAACCAATAATCCTTCTAATCAGAAGACCTGTGGCTCTTCTAATAAGAACACATCATCAAATAAGAAGACCTATTGTTCTTCTAATAAGAAGTTCCATAGCTCTTCTAATAAGAAGATATGTAGTCCTTTCAATAACAAGTCCAGAATGACTTGTAATAACAAGATCTGAATGACTTCTTGGAAGAAGATCCAAAGATCGTTTAATAAGAAAATTTTAAATTCTTCTAATGAGAATAACTGAATATCCTCTAATAAGAATAACTAAATCCCTCCTAATAAGAACACCTAACCTAAGAATGCATAATAAGAACTTTATATTTTTGAATAAGAAGACCAAACCTATAGATCATCTAATAAGAAAACCAATAAAAATTAGAAGACCTGTGGCTCTTCTAATAAGAATACCTATAGTTCTTCAAATAAGAAGACCTATTGTTCTTCTAATAAGAAGTTCTATAGCTCTTCTAATAAGAAAATCTGTAGTCCTTTCAATAACAAGTCCAGAATGACTTCTAATAACAAGATCTGAATGACTTCTTGGAAGAAGATCCAAAGATCGTTTAATAAGAAAATTTTAAATTCTTCTAATGAGAATAACTGAATATCATCTAATAAGAATAACTAAATCCCTTCTAATAAGAACACCTAACGACCTTATAATAGGATTATTTAAAGTTATTCTAATAAGAAGACCTGCAACTTTTCTAATCAGAATAACTAAAGTTTTTCTTATAAATAGACTTACAACTCTTCTAATAAGAATGCATAAAGCTCTTCTAATAAGATGATCTATAGATCTTCTAATAAGAATATATAAATCTCTTCTAATTAAGAGAAGTTGAGGGTTTCTTATTATGTTCCAATGAGAATATATAAATCTCTTCTAGTTAGAATAGATTTGGGTCTTCTTATTAAAAGAATTTTAGTATACCGAATGACCTCTTAAAGAGAGGACCTGGAAGTCCTTTAATAAAAAGACCAAAAACTCTCCCAATTAGAAAAAATAAAACATCTTTATTAACAAGACCTAAAGTTATTCTAATAAGAAACCCTCCAGCTCTTTTAATATAAAAATCTCCATCTCTTATAAGAAAAGTTAGAGATTTAGGTCTTCTTATAAGAAGACCTTCAACTCTTTTAATAATAATAATATATCCAGCTTTTCTAATAAGAATACCTCCAGCTTTTCTAAAGGGAAGACAACCAGCTTTTCTAATAAGAATACAAAAAAGTAGTCTAATAAGAAGATCAACAACCATTTTAATAAGAATATTTTAAACTTTTCTAATAAGAATTCCTCAAACCTCTTCTAATGAGAAAATAGTTGAGAGTTTCATATTATATTCGTTTTATGTTCTAATAAGAATGCGTAAAGTTCTTCTAATTAGAAGAGCTTTAGAACTTCTTATAAGAAGACCTCAAGTTCTTTTAATAAGAATATATCCAGCTTTTCTAAAAGGAAGACAACCAGCTTTTCTAATATGAATACAAAAAACTAGTCTAATAAGAAGATCAACAACCATTCTAATAAGAATATTTTAAACTTTTCTAATAAGAATTCCTCAAACCTCTTCTAATGAGAAAAAGTTGAAGGTTTATAATATGAAACCCTCAACTTTTTCTCGTTTTATGTTCTAATAAGAATGCGTAAAGTTCTTCTAATTAGAAGAGCTTTAGAACTTCTTATAAAAAGATCTGTAGATCTTCTTATTAGAAGGGGTTTAGCATATCTAATGCTTTTTTTTAAAAAGAGATGGTGGAACTTCTTTTGAAAGACTAAAAAGAAGACCAAAAGTTCTTCTAATTAGAAAAAGAAAACTCCTTTAATAAGAAATACTTCAATTCTTCTAATAAGAAGTACTACTGTTCCTCCAATAAGAAGACCTCCCCATCCTCCTCCTCCTCAATTCTTTAACTTCTTTAGTAAGAAGACCAAAAGTTCTTCTAATTAGAAAAATAAAAAACCTTTAATAAGAAACCCTTCAGTTCTTCTAATGAGAAGTACTCCAGTTCTTCCAATAAGAAGATCTCCACATCCTCCTCTTCCTCAATTCACGCATTGTTGAGATCCTTAAAAATATTCTCTAAAAAATCCACGCCTCTGGTCCTTAGAAAAAATATTCTTGTGGGGACCTTTGAAAATATATTCCTTCAAAAATCGTAGTCGCAGGCCCTTCTTTCAAAAATTCACGGTTATTTCAAAAATTAAAGCTTTAGGATCTTTGAAAAAAAAAGAACGATTCTATCACATCCTCTAGTTCTTTGAAAAAAATATTCTAATAAGAATACCTTAAGTTCTCCCAATAGGAATGTATAATACTTCATTTCTCTAATTTCCGATTTTCTTCCACGTCCAACCGGCATCAAATATTGATTCGAATTGAATCTCCTTACCATACCTGCATCAAACTTTTATCAAAGGAAAACAAACATTCAACTAACAACAAATACATATAAATAAATAAAGAAATAGCCATCAAACACAAAAATCCTTTTGTTTAAATATTCAACCTCTTTTGTTAATTACGAAGCAAATATGACCCATCGACCGACCAACCAAGCTGTCAGCTAGCCAGCCAACCAGCCAGCTTGTTCGCCATTATCCTTGTCGAGTTGATGGTCACTAACAACAAATATCAAACACTATTAAATTATAGTCAAAAAAGAGAGAAAATAAAAATACAGAAAATAAATAGAAAGGAAAGTGGAAAGAGAAGAAGAAAACCAACCAAAATTGAATCTAAACCAAAGTATTGCCTCAAGAAGAAACGCCAGGATATGGAGTTCGGCAAAGACCACAAAACAGTGTCGGGAAAAAATAATTGCTCTCAAAAGAAATAAGGATA